TTAAGAGACTCCGTCGTTTCTTCGCTCTAAACCTTTCTCTCTGTCTGCGCTTATACTGCCTACTGGGAGGACTTTGCCCCCTTCCTCTCCCTTTCCCTAACTCCCCTACACAGCTATTACGTACGTAGAATTGCGTTCCATGTATAAAATTTGCTTTTTAATAAGTTTTTAATAAACAATGAGCAATGGGAAATTACTGACCTCACCACTGACCTTGAACTTCTTGAAGGTCAAAGTCAAGGTCAGTCGAAGGTCATTTGAGGCTGGTTGTATAAAGGTAAATATTTACCTAATTATGCTTTAATACTTTTATACTAATTCAGACTAATAAGATGAATCGATTAGTGAAAAAAACGCAGTTAAAAAAAGATATGCAATTTTATATATTTCTTTGCAAAACAACTGTATGTTTTCTTTATACCAATCAATTATCTCATTATTCTGTGCATATAAGTATTGAGGTACAATTATATTTATCAAATAATTAATAATTTACGAGATATTTCATATTTTATGTCGAAATATGTCATGATAAATTATTAATTATCTCATAAAGTATTTAATTTTTCGACAACTTTATCTTATACTTTTATATGCAAAATAATTAGAGGAATTATGTTATTAAAAAAAAATTATGTCATATTTTATCAAAAAAGTAGAGTGACCTTCATGTGTCCTTGAAAAATATATTTTTTCTGGAAATTAATTTTACCATTATTTATCCTCCTTCATATTTTACAATTTTTATCTGAAATATTTTTTCGTATTTTATGTATTTTTTGAGATTAGCGACCTGTTTCGCGAATAATTGTGATATCTCGATTTAAATTCAATTTTTTGTGTTCTTGTCGTGTGACGTAATTTTGAATAGCATTGGATTCCTTACAATAAGAAATGTGGTCTATTTTACTTTTTCAGCATTTTCAGCACTTTCTCAAGCACAGCAAAAACAGAATTTTTCGTAACATCTTTAGCTATGTTGCAAAATTCACCGCCAATATTGAATATCTATAGTTTTAGTTACGTGCTTAAACTACGGATTTCCAACACTGGCATGAATGAATTTTAAAACACAGGCTTTACAGTGCCATTTGATGTATGCTATAGATTTTCAGTATTGGCAATGAATATTGGAATGCCGTCATTGTTATTTGTTGCACAAATATTGCAGTAGTTCAACTGCTATATTCAGCGAACACCAAATCTGATCAAATGATGATATTTGATGCAATCAAGAAAAAAAATAAACGACATATAAAATACATGAATATGAATGTTCGAATATTCATGTTCGCTGTTTATTCGGTGTTCATTCGTCAATGTATACTCAGCTTAAAGCAGCTTCTATTTTGTCTAGCTTAAGTTTACCCGGTATAACGGTGAGAAGGTCTGGATCAGCAATCATCTCAAATGGCCGGAGTGGTGCCAGTGGGATTGGACAAAATGGAAACAGAATATCTGGAGCGAATAGAAATCAGTTGGAGCCTAGTCCACATGAACTACCAGTTAAAGACACTGATCGTGCTATTGATGTAACTAGTGTCGAATGTGAGTATACCAAAATTATCATTAAACACACAATGATCATAATTATTTCTCCACTGTTTAAAAGCATACATTACAAGCTACCAAGAATTATAATGCTAAAATACAATTTTCTTTTCATTAAATTATATAATTGCAATACATTTTTGAGTATAAAAATCTATATCATTTGATTAATATAATATTATATACTATATATATATTAATATAATTTAATGAAAAGAAAATTGTACTTTAGCATTATAGTTCTTGGTATCTTATAGATTTATGATTTTGAACATTTTATCTATAATTGTATCCATATATTGTATAATCGATATTTAACTTTAATTTGATTCTTGCAGTAGGCATGGATAAAACATTAGGTAATCTAGAAATATCTATTAATGTTGTATGTATTGTGAATATAATTTTGTTGTATTCAAAATTTGCAAATAACAGTAGTTTAGAGCAAAAAATTACTTTAATTATCAGATTAGGTATTTCTTATAGATTTTTAAATGCCGAAAACGATGTCACAAACCAAAAAGTTCCAACACGTCAAGTTTCCAAGATAATTAACGTTTAATGTCCAAAAAATAGCTTTTTTGAAAATGTTTGACATTTTTTTGTAAAAAAAAAGGTTAACGTTAACTTCTATCGAAATTATGGTCTGAAGCTGAGAGGATGGCCAAACTCCGTTTCGCTGTTTTATCAACGATTTTTATATATGTATGTGTGCGATATTGATATAGCAGTGTGTTTATGTTTATTACCACGTCAATATCGCACACATCGTAATAACTTTTCGTGTATTTCTCGAAAATTAAGTATCTATTCTAATTCTATAAACTCCATTGTTTCTTTTTACATATAATGTACTAGTCACCGTAATTTCATAAATATGTTGCAAAGCATATAATTTATATGATTTATATGAATGACATGTCTAGGATCTCATCGTCACATATTAGAACTAAGAAATGGTAAAGATCTGAATTATAAAAATTTTTTTCGTTCTTGGCATAAACTCTGAGCGTCATACTAATATTAATGCTTTAATTCTGGAAAAGGATTTCGAAATCTATTAAAGTAATACGAAATCTCGTAATACACAAAAATTATTTAATCCGTAAAGCAGATAGGTCTTCAGTATCCTCAATTATCTTAGGAACCTGATGTGCTAGAGAAATTTGATTTACAGCATCATTTTCAGCATCTAAAAAAGTAATCTGATTTAAAATAATTAATAAAAACATTTTTTACACTAGTGTAATCATGCTATATTTAAAAAATTTTTTAATTTATAATAAATTATGAAACTATTAAATTATGGAACGATAATATAAATATTATGTTTTGCAATTAAATTTTATAAATGATATAGTAGCAAAATATAAATACACAATATAAACAATATTATACTTATATAATATATAAGTATAATATATAATGTAATATATAATACAATAAATAACATATACAATGTATATGTATGTGTATAGGAAGTTAAAAAAAGTATTTAGTATTTATATATTTTATTAAATAGCACACATCATACTGACAATGAATAGAAAAGTTTTAATAAACATAAATCGAAAACTCAATCGTTTTTGAGATAACAATTGTTTGTACATACAATGAGATAACAATTGTATATTTATATCTATAATAATTATGTGCACGAAATATATTTTATATATACATACATATATGTATGTATATATACATATACATATATATACATATATATATATATACATATATATATGTATATATATATGTATATACAGGGTGTCTTATTTTATATTTGACAGTCAAATATTAGGAAATCGCGAGGTTTGAGAGAAAAATGTTTCAGACAAAAGTTGTAGGGTTTCGAGGGGGACATAAGATGATAACATTGGTTTGACTCTGAATGGTGTCGTCAAGGTCAGGACAAGGTCACTTTGAATTTTTTAAATGGAACCCCCAATTTTTCATTACATGTTCTTATAGCACGCCTCGAGAACTTTCCAAAACACATAAATAAAATATTTTTTTATGAAATAAATCTTGAGTTATGAAGCTTGAAAGTTGGAGTACTGTCGGCATTAGCATCATCCAAGGTGTCCAAACACTAGCTGAAACCTTTTGAATGTTGTTCAGGATCATGACATTGATAAAGGCCAACGACTTTGGCCATCTTTAGCTAGTGTATCGGAA